TATCACACATTAGCCTGCCACAGTCCAGTTGCTGAGTAGTGAATATCTGAATTAAAGTAGTGTTTGCAGATACAAATTGAAGACAAATTTAGGAATAGAATTTACAAGACATGGTCACTGCGAGATCACAGTCACTTGGGGGACAACAACAAGAAGCCACAGAGAGCTAGGCTTCTCCTTTTAACAGGCAGATGTTATTGACGAGGATCAGAAAAGGAGTGCAAAGAAAGAACTTCCTCTTCTCTCTTCTCTCATTTCACATGGGACACATAAAAAATTTGACAGCAGCATTAAAATCTAAACAAACAGTATTTCAAAAATGGGGAATGGAATTTTTTGGTCTCTCTGAATATTAAGTTTCTAGAAGTCAGCAGACTTTTAGAATTAGTACTGTGTTTTCTGAATATACCAGTATAACCTCAGGAGCTACAGCTTCTATTAATATAATTTCATGCCTAAAAAAAAAAAAAAGAAAACCCAAATACCATAATTGAAAACCTGTGCACTCACCCCCGCTGCTGATTATATCGCATTTGGCCTTCATCATTTTGCAAAATTGTCTTCGGCAGTTCTCTATCCACTCAGTTTGTTTCTCAGACACTGTGAAGCATGATGACAGCCTGCCAAGATCACCATCTAACAGGAAGGATAGAACACTACGTTATTATAATGTGACCCGGCGTATATGCAGAAACTTGGGTACTGATGCTAAATATGTAGACAAGTGCAAATAGCAGAAAAACTACTGCATATGACTTTCAAAGGAAAACATATTTTGCTGTAATTATAGCTTATATATGGTCAATTACTATTTATCACACTTACTAAAAGCTTATGCAATTGATTATGGAATTACTGAAAGCTCCTAAGATGGATTGTTGGTTTGTATCCGTAAGTCCTTGAACTTTCTTATATCAACATGGTTCACTACTGAGTATGTTTTAACAGACAGTGTAAACCGTGAGATTGCACTACCCAGACTGACATGAATTACACACATTCTTCACATATGTTCAGGTGCAATTTTATTCATGTGTTTCAAAGCAAAAAGAAAGCGTACGTATAGAAAACTTCTAGTCAACCACTTGGTTCCTTTTTTGAAGAAAAAAATATAGTATCAAAGCTATTAAAAGTATGCTACTCTAGAACACTGCCAATTTAAGTATACAGTTTTCACTTATTTTTATATCAGTTAAAAATAAAATTTAATTTCAATAAAAACATATATGGAATTCCTCCTTTGTGGCTATAATGATCGAGACTCGTCATCTAAAGAGTATGCACACACTCTCTAGTGCAGACCTGTTATCCAAGGAAGGTATTTCCAAGATCCTCAGCTGTATGTTATATATTTTCTACACATATGATAAAGTTTAACGTACACACTAGACATAGTAAGAGATTCACAACAGTAGCCAATACACCAGAACGATTACAAGGCACTGCACTAAAATGCCCACGTCACCGTTCTGCACTCAGGAACCACCGTTAAGTGAAATAAGGACACACTGCAGCACTGTGACAGCTGACCTGTGACCAACACGCTAAGTGACTCTGCTCGCAGCGTTCACAAAGGCTAACCCCCCTGGCGGGACACAGGAAGACGGAGGGAGACTTCACCATGCTCACAGAACAAGGTGCAACTTAAAACTTGTGAACTATTTACTTCTGGGATTTTTTATTAAATATTTTCAGACTGTAGGTGACAGCGGGTAACTAAAAGTACAGAAGGTGAAACTTCAGACTGGGAGAGACAACAGTCCGTGTATGAACACACTCAGAAGTACATACACAGATTACCACGGGATTAGCAAGCCACGGCATCCCTACACTGTAACGTGCAATGTTGTTTAGCTTCCAAGCTCTCATGTATCATCAAGAGGCCTTCACAATTACCAGACACGTACATACACACATATATACACACATACATACATATATGCACATACATATGTACACACATATAAATGCACATGTACATATTTAAAATTGATAACTTATGTAAGTATTCCCTTACTTGACATTTAGGTCACAAAAAAGCCTTACAGGAAAGCTACCCATATATTCTCTTCTATAAAACACAGAAATATATAGATATATATACACCAATCATGCACACTCAAAAACTACAAATAAGATTGGTTGAAAAAATGTAGCATTCTCATACGAAGTACTAACAGACTACCTTAAAATATCAAGACTGTAACTGTATAAAACATTTCACAAACTATATAGCAGCTCTTCACAGTAGCTTCAATAATAAAAGCAATAATTAGATGAAAATTACTAAATTAAATCGAAGGATAAAAAATCCTTTAAAAGACTAAAAATCTTCAAACTCAAGAAATAGCAAATAATTTCATTGAAAAATATGTTACCATTAACCAAAAAAGTTTTAATTTCAAATGTATCTTGACATAGATCAGGTAAAAATTCAACACACTGAAATTCACATTTACGACTTTCACTTAGAATACCTAAAATATTTCCCTACGAACAAACTACCGTTAGTTTGTTCAAGTAAACTAATAAAATCACTACTGCATGACTGCAAAATACATGACTGCAAAATAAACGCAGGTGCATTTTTTCCATCTTTGTTTCCTCCCGTTTTTTTCTTTCTTTCCTACCCACCTGCAGCTCTGCCTTTACTCCTGTCAAACAAAGGCTGTCACCACCGCCTCTCTTTCAGACAGGGGCTGTCCAAAACGCTCTTCCGAAGCTTTCTATCCTGTGTAAACCTTCGCGCTGTCCTGGACTTCCTCTTTGCCCTCCTCTCTCTCTCCTCACATTCCGCAGTCTGTTTTGCCTTCCTGCCCGCTCACTCTACAGAAAGTAACACCATGACCTAGCACTGCCAGCAGCACTGAAGCAGCAGGCGTGGAATGGGCCTGGCTCTGCCATCAGCAGAGGGGAGGAAGGGCGCGGCGTCGATATCTGGACACTGGATTTGAGGCAGGAGAGAGAGGGGGAGCTGAAAAGATGCCTAGGCTGCAAGACTCCACGACACTTGTCAACTCTGTTTACATTCATGGTACAGTTTCCCCAGCCATCACTGTGAATGCAGGCTTTTAAATTTATATTCCTCACAACTAAAAATACTTAGTGATTTAATATGCTAATGGAATCTATCTATCTATATCTATCTCTCTGTGATGTCACCGGTTTCAAAAGGAACAATTCCTTTATTTCTCCCTCCATATTTGGGACCAACTGAGAGGTAGAGAGGTGTTTTAGTTGCTTTTTCACTGCTGGGACAAAACACCCAACACTCACAACTTCAAGGAAGGTTTCCCTTGGCTCACAGGTCAGTCTGGGTCAGCCCGCTCCAAGATAGAAACAGAAAGGGCAGCGTGAAGGCCCAGGGGAAGAAAACATGCTGAACCTCTGGAGGCCCAGAGGCAGCGTAAAGGGAAGAGCCAGGGAGGGGATGCCTTCCAGGTCACTCCCCAGGAACCCCTCTAACCGGACCCCACCTCACAGCAGCCCCCGGCCCGGTCGCCTTGCAGACACACGAGGCTTCAGCGAGACAGAGGTAAGCACAACGAGCGTGCCGATGAACAGGTTTCTGGTATCAGTGTTAGTACGGAAACTCTGCATTAGGCCATGGCTCACATCTGCTGCCGCAGAGGCTTCCCAATGTCGTTCCCAGACGGAAAGGAAGCCATCCAAGGCCTGTCCTGACCTCTCTTGCTAGAAAGCTACTAACATGACCCGAAGACAGACTCCCTTGAAAACAGTCTACAAAGAGGCCAATCCAGGATGCTGCATGCCTCCTCCAAATGCACCCATCGGCCACGCCTCCTAACTCTGTGCAGAGCGAGCAAAGGTGTCCCGAGAGCCCAGAAACGTTACTCCAGCAAAATGTCTTTGCCTGGGGTCTTGAGCACAAAGAAAACGGCTGTTCTTCCATAATGTTTCACAGACACATAGCACCTTTGAGTTTGCGATTCTGTTGATGAAATAAATAAGAATGATCACTTTTTCCCAACATTTCTACATGGAATGTTTCTTCTTTCATGGTCAGGGGGGAAAAAAAGAACATTTAAAAAGCCCCCGAGTTTTGGATTTGCTCAAGGTGGAAGACGAGAGACACCCTCGGCCGTAAAGCAGGCAGCCAGCCCTCAGGGGAAAGACACTAATGACTGTTTTCAGAAAGCCGCCAAGGGGCGGCGCGACAGGCACGAGTGAAGGAGAAAGGGAACACACGCAGCG